CAAACGGTCATTCGAAGGAGCTCACTCTTCCTTTGAAAAACCTCCTCTCGCATGCCCAGTGAAGTACCAGGATATCGATGATATTGATCGGGAACGAGTGGAGCATTTAAGAGCATTATCTCCATAACTCATTACTACCACGCCAAAACTCACTTCTGAGAAGTCTTTCTGCTACTTGTCACGGAAGTACACTAGAATTATAATTTATGGATGATAAATGCTTGATTGTTGGGATGATGATGGAGTTGTCAGTTATGCATGACAATGGCGTGACTTCGTCTGCTTTTGCCGTATGGAGCCCAACATGGAAACTGTTGTCTCATGGCAAAAATTTATCGTTGATGTTACATAATTTAACAAGTTCTAGATGCAAAAACGAGGTTTTTGCGTATAGAGGCAAGCATGTTGAAGTAGGTACTTGGGACTTCCTCAAGTAACTGCCAGAGATGTTAAATTTAGCTTGCTTGAACAGCTGGAACAAAAATTCGTACTTTGATTGAAGTCGAGTGACACAAGTCTCAACTTGAGATGATTGGAAGCTCAATATGAAAACGATTGGTTCCGAGTCCGAAAGTGGCAAAATAATGCGACTACCTCTTTCGGAGTCGCTCAGTGATTCAATTGAAACAAAGAGTGAACTCACAAGGCTGAATTCCTTAATCAGTCCATTTTATTGCGCTAGGTGTACAAGGTTTACCGAAATTTGAAGGTCATCCGCCTAAACATTGATGCTATACAATGCACTCATTATCATGGAAAATATATCAAATTAAGCAAGAACCAGGCATGAATGCGACACGTACAATTTCGAAAATTTTGAGATCGAAAAGACTGGGTTTGACATGAATTCGTTTCTCCCATACATTTTGCAGCCATGGAATCGGCATCATTAGAATAAGCTTGATTTTTCTCCCTGCATTCATGAGTATCATCCTGTTCCAGACATTCTGATGAGAATTCCCGACTGTTTCTTTCTTATATAGGAAGAGTTTTAAACGCTGAAAGAAGATGAAACGAGCACGGATATAGGATTGACGTCATAGGATTGCGTCAAAAATAACGAGTGAGGATCGATTAAGACGGTCAAGTAGGCGGGTCTTAGCATTTGTTCCTGTAGTTGTTCCCTTCTTGCTTGGCGCGGAAAACCGGGGGAAGGCATGTATTTGCATCTGCTAATGCAATTCAATCAGAAGTTCTGTAATATTGATATCATAATTGGCTCGGAAATTGATGTGAATTTGAGAACATCCCATGTCTAACGTGCATGCTAAAGCATACAGTATGTACAAAATCTCCTCGGCTGATATCACTTAGGATCGTTCCGAGTCATTATGATAGAATCTCTCTCACTGCGCTGGGACTTCAGTGTGGCTACGAATTTAACTCCTTCGTACCTCCGTACCTGCCTTCTGTCGAACCAATAATTTTATGTAGCAAAGATAGAAGAGGAGCGGTAGGACAAGTTGAAGAGCCATGAGCCACGTTCGGAGCCACTCTTTGGAAAGACAATTGTTAAAAACAACTTTTTAAAAATCTATACTACTTATACTTCGGAGTGTGTGTCTGTCCTTTATGCCCGGCCACGCCTCTGATAAGGGACGTAGCCAGGGGGTGTCCTGGGTGTCTGGACAACCCCCGAAATGAAGCTAGATTTCAGGAAACAAGGAGTATGCGAGCGGGGGGGGGGGGGGAGTGAAAAATGTCATATATGCAAGTGAAGTTTTGAACATAATCATCCTTAATCAATACAGTGCTCCCCATTTTGCTTCCATAGCTCCACCAGTTTTTTTTTCCAGTAGAAAACCATGATTCAGGAGTAGCTCTGACCCACTAAATTATGACTAATTCAAGGTCAATCTTTAAACCATCCCTGCTGAAAAAACCTGACTAAAACCTCATGAGAAAGTCGTGAGGTCTCATGAGATCTCACGGCTTTCTCATGAGGTTGTCCGAATATCTCATGAGGAAATCCTCATGAGGTTTTTTCTGGAGTGCACAACCGAGAGAGATGGCGACTATATAGCCGCTCTGACGAGTATCCCCCTGATCTCACTGAAGTATCTCTCTTGTACCCTCAAAGTTGAATGCATATTTTTAATTCTACATAGAACAAAATCAAATACATTCGATTTTCTAATAACACTTGTCCGAAGAGATTGCCTAGCTCAGTGAGACTTCAGATAATTCTGGCCCACAGGATGGAATGACGTATTGAGGATGGAATGAATGACAGTTGTATAACCGTCCGTATTCCGGCGCAAGTGATTACTTCTTCTCTAAGGACTCGCGGGACCTTGCAAGTCTGAGTTCCATGAAACCTTTCGTGGCTAACGAGACAAGTGGCGCCTCGAAACCCCCATGAAGTCAATCTCATGAGACATCTGTTCCAAACCTCATAAGATTATTCTCATGAGATCTCTGTCCGAAAACCTCATAAGGTTTTTTCAGCAGGGATATCTTTTTTCATGTAAAAAAAACTTGCATTTTTGAGAAGAGATTTCGAATTCTGAAGTGGGTGGGGTTGAAGTCTCAAGAGGGCTTTCGAAGTGCTCCTCATTCCTTCCAACCACTCACCATCCTTGGCCACTTCAAAATCTCATGAGCCTGAAAGAGCCTCACAAGACACCCCCAAAGTAATTCCTGTCTATTCTAACAGAAAATGTGATTTCATTTCCTTCGAATCCCGAAAATGTAATAGATCCCACAGAAGGTGTTCATCTGCATGTCCGTGCCCCCCATCATCAAACAAACGCCATTCAATTGCTCAAACTCAGAAATTGGTTTCTTTGAACGGACAAAATGACCAGGTAATTCTCCGGATCTTAACGCAGCAGAGTATTTTGGGACGAATTGGAAGAGCTAAGTTGAAAGTCTGATGGGGACCCCATGTTACTGAATAAAATTTCCGTTACACCTCGCTAGTGAGCTAATAATTATGGGAACGATGTCCATAGCCCCAACGAAGGATAAAGGAACGTCTGTAACGGGCATTAATCCTTCTGAGAGCCCAGAAAGCGAAGGCTCAAGAAGCATTTCACCTGCATTCAGGGCAGTGTCACTTTCAAGTTGGGATTCAAATTCTTGGAAAATCACGCACACCGACATGAAAGTAACGAAATCCATAAACACGTACTATCCAAATGCGAGAGCTTCAATGAAAGTTCGTCAACATGAGCTACAGAACCCGGATTTGCCTCGATTCTAACCGTCAGTCCTATTGCGCCTTTGGGTTTATTGGGTTTGTGAGAATTTCATTCCCTCTGCCCATATTGTCACTTTCACGCACACCATTATCAAATAGGGAGCCGGTTGAGAAAAAGCGAGTTGATGATCCCTTCATCGACTTACTGAGGACCCGAGCTTGAGATGTGCTGAATTCCGAATGAAAGAAGAGAAAGACCTTTCCAAATAATATCTACCTAGGTATAAAGGCATGAATTCAATGATTCCATATTGATATTACTTCATGATTCCAGAATAAATTACTTTATTTCAATTAAACGTGGACTACACATACTAGACATGATAAAGTTTTGTTTATCTGTAGAGGGCGCTGTTGTCTCCGTGAAAAGAAAATAGCATCATGTCAAGAAGAGGCGAACTGTTTCATCTGGTATGCAAAGTCCGAAAGCATAGAGTTCAATTTGAATTCAGGAGACATTTAAACAAAAATCCACCAGTTAGGGAAGACTTAACGGACCGCATTCAAGAAACATTAGCCACAATCACAAAAGATATGTTGGCGAACACCTGGGCGGAAATCTCTCAGGGATATGACTTTATCATGTCTAGAACGTGTAGTCGAAGTTGCATTGAAATACATTAATTTGTTCTGGAATTATGAAGTGATATTTTTTAGTCTTACTTTCATGGACACCTTGTAGGATCAACCGTGAATGCAGGAAACGTCATTTATATACAAAAGGAATAGGAAAGGGCCCAGGAGCGATCCCTGTGGGACTACGACTGTGCAGTGAATGGGGCTAGATAAGTATGTATCACATATCGATTATGGTGCTTGATTAATGCAGTCGTAACAGATAGGAAGGAGGATATTCAGATTTGGGGATTCCTCTATCATCATGAAATTTTCTTTTTCTTTTAATTCCATGGTAAATACTGCCGAAGGCTTTGATGATGTCACGCCCATGGGGCATCTAGTGCGGAGTGCAGAAATGCTAAGATGGCATCTGAGTGCTGTGGCCTTTTCTGAAGTCAAATTGTATGGGGGTGAGGGTGGGGCATGTTCCAGGTATTTATACTGTACAATATGGAATGCGTAGCTTCTTTAAAGGATTTTAAAGAAAGTTGTGATAATGGTTATGTATAGCCTCACATAAAAAAGGCTCATGCCAGAAAATATGTACTTGCGTATCATTTTGCATTATTTTAGTAAATAAATTTGTAGATTCCTCCTGAAGGAACATTAACTATGTGAGCACTGCAGCTTTAATAAACGCTGCTGTTTTCATGGCAGACAGTGGCGGATTCAGGGGGTGCGGGGGACTGCTCCCCCCCCCCCCCCCCCCCCCCCCCCCCCCCCCCCCCCCCCCCCCCCCTCCCCCCCCC